AACCAATAAGTAGATCGCTTGTAGATGTCGTTACAGCATCATAGGTTTGGACACACATGAGTGTTTGGTGAAGGATATGTCGCGCGCCTATGCGGAAGCGTTGCACGCACACACAACGAACTTGAGATCATGGAAGAAGAAAGCCACACTCTTGCACAAACCAAGCTAATTACGATAAATCAAACCAAACACAGAGATATACGTGGTTCGGCAACTTGCCTACGTTCACAGGGAGAGGATGGGGAGATTTCACTAATTCAAGGAGAGTACAAAGGATTACAAAACTCTCAAACTAACCCTCAACCAAAGATCTTACCTTGCTCACAATATCTCCCTCTCACAATGCTCAAAAGATTCCTCAATCTCTGATAAAAAAACCCTAACAAATCGTTTTCCTATTTATATCAAAACAAAAACCCAATCAGACTGCAAACAGGAAACCTGATTATGCAAAAAACCCATCGTAAGTCGACTTAACAGAGAGCATAAGTCGACTTGGCAGAGAGAAAAACAGCAACTGGAGACCACTTCATAAGTCGACTTATCAGGCCTGATAAGTCGACTTGGCAGAGAGAAAAAAAACACAACTCCAGTGCAGATCGTAAGTCGACTTGTGCACACTGACAAGTCGACTTACCATAAGTCGACTTAGCCTTGTGCATGAGTCGACTTATGCCAGAAAATCTGGTTTTTCTGATTTCTCCACAGATTTTCTGTAATGATCAAACTTGTTGCTCGGAACCACCTTTGTGAGCATATCCGCCGGATTATCCTTCGTGTGGACCTTTACAATTTCCACATCGCCATCTTCAAGAACATCTCGAACGAAGTGATAACGAACATCAATGTGCTTCGTCCGCACATGAAAAACATGATTCTTCACCAAATAGATAGCACTCATGCTATCACAATGAATAGTGACGGACCTCTGCGATATACCAAGTTCCTCCAAAAGCCCTCAAAGCCAAATAGCCTCCTTCACAGCCTCCGTAACTACCATATACTCTGCCTCCGTCGTAGACAAAGCCACCGTCGACTATAAGGTGCATCTCCAACACACCGGCGCACGGGTCAAAGTGAACACATACCCCGTCGTAGACCGGCGCTTATCCAAATCCCCGGCATAATCCGAATCAACATAGCCAATGCATAGCTGCCCACCTGTAGTGTCCCGTTCATAAACCAAACCAACATTGAGCGTACCTAGAATGTACCTCAACATTTAAGAGGCTTGTAAAGAGATTTAAGAGAGATCTCCTAGGATTGATTTCTTCTTGGAGGGAGAAAGAAAAGCGGTTGGATATGGATCAATATAGTGTTGCTGACAAATACCTAGTCGACTGTTGCAGATTCTGCTCTGCTAAGGGCATATCTCTGACTTGGAGTGAACCTTGATCAAAACCTCGCGCGCATGTCTTGTTTAAGTTTTCTAGTTTACTTTTTTTGTCGTTGATCCTATATTTTGTTTATCATATGTTGCAAATTGCATAGTTTAGTCGATTAGCACAAGTGGAATCACAACAGTTAGTGTCGATGCCAGCTTTTAGGAGTAGTATGTATAGTTGTTTGTTATAACAAAAGATATCGAGGATAATATTAACGTCGACAAGTTTAAGGAGCATAAATCTTGTTGGTGGAAGATGCAGATGGAAGACTACATGTAGCCATTAGTCACTATAGTGGAAGACAATAGTTTATATTCCATATATATATGGTGACAACCAATAAGTAGATCGCTTGAAGATGTCGTTACAGCATCATAGGCTTGGACACACATGAGTGTTTGGTGAAGGATATATAGTCAGGAAGATATATCACTTGATACATACAAGAACACGTATGATGGAATTTTTTTTATCAACCCGGCCCCTTTAAAACTCACATTATCATTTTATTAGGAAACGTACATGAAAACATGGCCAAAAGGTCAAGTGTGAACTAACTAAATAAATAAATATAAAATATAATAGATACAATTATCGAGTTTATAATGAGTCTAGTTCATTAAATATAGGCTAATTAGTAGACTAAAAAGGGTGTAGCATGAAAACATGGCCAAAAGGTCAGGTCAATAGGGTCAAATCTGGAGAGTAAATTTGCGGTGGCAATCCGCGACTTGCATGCTGTACTGCCGTCCCTAACGCCTACTTCCGGTGGTCGGACCTCTAGTCCTAAGTACTTCTGGTGCCCAACGGCCGCAGTCGAGCCGCCGCACCAACACTAGACTGTGGGTTAAAGGTCATCAACGCATCGTCTTGTTGGCGCCATTTGCCACCATTTTCAACTCTGTCATGGTACTTAATTGGAGTAATTTCAGTTTTTCTATAGGATCATATAGTATTTCTAATCTCATTAGACATGCTTTTTCATATGGATCGTTTCAAGAAAATTTGTTACAAATCCTATCAAAAACACTAATCTGCTGATATAACTTATTAGGTCTAATGAAAACTTGATAGATCCGGATCAAAAAACACAAATAATCATGAAAAATAATAACTTACTTAGATCTAATATGAAATAAACATTATGTGAGTAATACGTGATCAAGTCAGATTAAGAAAACAAGAGCAGGTGCACCTACATTTGATCAAAACTTCATCTAAGATGAACCCTAGCCTCCTCTCTTCCTTTGCATTGCCATAGAACAACTAAAAACTATAAATCTATGGAATCCCACATTTATATAGAGTTCTAATGTCACGTCCTATGACCTAATCGGAGCGCAACTGTAGGTTGTCTAAAAATCACTGCAGATAGCTGATCCCCATCAAACACCGATGATGGAAGTTACAATTCGACGGCTTCCAGAAGGCTACAATTTGAAGACTTTCACGTAAATCGATGAAGGTTACAATCTGACGACCTTCGCAACAACTGATGAAAGCTCTAATCAACAGCCTTCACAATCAACATCAGGAGTTACAATCTGACGACTCTCATATTTTCAAAGAGCCAAAACGAATATTACAAGATGACGGTCTTTACAACGCTCTAACAAAAGAGACTACAAATTGACGGTCTCTTCAAATCCAGACGCAGAGCTCACCTCTGCGTTCCAGATTCAAAACGCAGAGATCGTGGCCGCGTTCCAAACTCCCAGAACCAAAACGCAGAGCCCATAGCTGTGTTCCAGAACGAGAAGCAAAGCTCAAGAGCTGCGTTCCAACTTCAAAACGCAAGGGTTAGCCCTGCAGTCCAAATTCAAAATGCAGCACGACCTATGCGTTCTCAGCCGCCAACGCAGGTTCCAACTCTGTATTTTAGTCCCAGAACACCAGTTTCGGCATTTGACTCGTTCAAGCACGGGCTGAACGGTTTTAAAACCGTTTTCCACGATTTGAGGGCGGTTACACCCACTTAGGAGTGATTTAAGGGGCGGTTACACCTCCTTAATCCCCTATAATTAAGAAGAAACTCAACCGAGTTCAGGGTTGTAATTTTTTGGATCAAAAACGGCCTGAAGGGATCGGCATCATTCTTCAACGGAGATCATCTTCAACTTCAGCAACGAGGAGCTCGTTCTTGGCTATAACCGACTTTCGGTTCAAATCAACTATTTTACAAGAGTTTAAACTCGCTCTGAGTTCCTAAACTCATTAAGAGTTAGTTTAAAACTTGCTTTGCAAGTTCTCCACAACGTCAAATCATGAGGAGAATATATCGTTCCAGCAAAGTGAAACGTCGGATCGTCATCGAGAAACAAACTCGATACGAACGTCGAGGGAGACATCTCATCGCCACCGTGAAGAACCCAGTGTTAAACAAAGGGGAGGATTTATATTGATCCCCTTCTCTTTTGTAATCGGAAATTCAAATTGTAATCAGTTAGAGATCGAGAGAGTTGTAAACATTCTTTTTCTAAGCAGTTAGAGGGAATAAATCAAATTCAATTCTTTCAATTGTCTTCTTACAAATTTTCCAACAAACAAAAGATGACGACTCCGCTGGGGACTAGCTTCACTGACGAAGAAATGGTGGCGCAATTCGACATCAAGCTCGCTAGAACGATCGTTGAAACTCTGATCATCGAGTTCGATCAAGCCAAGTATGAGGAGGTACTCTCCTCCGGATCCCTTAGCCCCAAGGCTATGCGTAAGATCCGCAAAGTCTCTAAGGAGACTAAAGCTCCAGTTGTGGCCGTCCCTTAGCCCCAAGGCTATGCGTAAGATCCGCAAAGTCTCTAAGGAGACTAAAGCTCCAGTTGTGGCCGACTCATCAAAGAACTGTCTCCCCTAAGGGTTGCACTGTTCATACAATCCCCTCTCTAAAGGAGAAGACTTAGCTTCGGCCAAACTCGTCCACCGAGTTGAAGGTTCTGCACCCGCGCCAAAGCGACGGGTATCGGGTCACAAAAGGCCCATCGTGGTGACCAACTCTGGTCAACGCCGACGACATCGCTACCAAGGCCTTAAAGCAGGCCAAGAAGAACGTCGCTCAACAAAGGAGAAGATCCCGAAAACATACGTGAATACTAGTCTCGTATGTTTTCTGGGTGAACTAATCGGTGATTAGTTCACCTAAAACATACGGGACTAGTAGTCTCGTATGTTCTAAGCTGGACTTTTTTTTTTAAATCGACATCTTTTTAGCCTGATAGATTTTGCTAAATAATTAGCAAAATGATCGGTTTTGCTAATTATTTAGCGGAATCGGTCCTTTTTTTATTTTAATTTCCACTTGTCCATAATTTTGATTTTTGGGGATGTACAAAGAAAGAATTTAAGTCCCTAGCTAGGGCTTGCTTGATCGACGATGCTTATTAGCGTGCGAAATAACACCCTAACCCAAAAATCCCTTCTCTCTCTCGGAAATCAAGAAGTGGGCGGCGGCGGCGCATTCGATCGGCGGCCGGCGGATGGCGAACCCCAACAGGTCCAGAAGCAACACGCTGTAACGTCGGCCGGCCTAGGCCGATGGAGGCCGCAACGAAGTCGGTTCATCCACTCGGCCTTCGTCCCCTTCGGCGACACAAGGACGTCAAGACCCCTGCTGACCAGGCCGACCCCAGAAAGCACAGGTCCTTCGGCTTCGTCACCTTCCTGGAGAGGGAGACGCCGCGCGGCCATGGACAACATGGACGGACGCCGAGCCGGCCGAGTCCTCACCGTCAACTACGCCCTCCCCGAGAGGATCAAGGGAGGGGAGCAGGGCTGGGCCGCCCAGCCGAGTAAGAAAACCCTAATTTTGTTCTTCTTTATTGGGATGATCTCAAAAAGAATCAAACTTGGCTAAGCATTGCTTCGAAATCTTACAAAATACTGATGCTAGGTTAAACTTATAGATAAAAGGTGTATGGTGCAAAGCTTATTGGGAAATTTGGAAGATTATTCAATTAGCTATTTCGTAAAAGCTTTGCCTGTACCTCACTTTGGGTTCTTGCTTGCATTACTTCTTTTGAAGTGGTATGTCCCAATGTGCAAAAGTTTTTTTTTAGCATAACCAACTTAACCTGTACTGTTTGAATCATTTGACTGCTTAATGGTGCTGAATATTATCGACAGATTTCTGGTAGGATCATGTAAGAAACTTTTGGTGCTACGTAGTCCCACCCTCTCACACTTGGGCAGGAGTATGTCTGAGAAAAAAACCCTGGGTCAGATGGCAGTTTTGATCATGTTATATGCGCGCGCGCGCGCACACACACACACAAAACTCATGTATAAACAGCAGATATGATCAGACTTATCTTTAAAACTGCTACTTTGGAGTCACTGCATCAATATATTATTAGTTTGTTTAATAGGATTGATTGATTCTAGATTTAAGTATGAAACGAGATTAAAATGCCATATACCAGTTTTGTCATTATGTTTTTTAGCATCAAATGTACATCGCCAATTCCTATCATCCACCATTGCCGCCAACTGGATCATTATTAAATTGTGAAACAAATATCTCTAGATTATGTCCAAGGATGATTGCTAACCGCTGAAAACCAATGTTTATTGTACTTCACATAATTCTACAAAAATTTAAAACTAAATTAACATGTAAATTGTACCGAAGTTAATGAATAAAACAATGAGAAACCTTTAATCTTCGGGCAAAGCTTAAAGCTTCTGTTGTTCTCCTCCTGAGGATGGTGGACACCTAGCTTTTAAATTTCTCATGAGCAGTATAATAGAGTTGACTGGAGGTGAGGTATGTTTTTTTTTTTTCGCACCTGCTATTACGGGTGTTGTTTGGAATGTAACCATTACTTTATTCACTCTTTTCCTTTGCTGCTGAAGTAAAAAAGTCCAAAAATGTGCAACAACAATCCAATTGTTAGAGCAAAATTGATCTGTTTGAGATTGTAAATGACATGTTACATAGTTTGATATGCAAATGCGTCCTTGCATGTGACCCTTTGTCATGGTTGATACTTGAGCATGGTAATAAGTATAGCCTCTGCTTTTAAGAAATTCTGTTTTGGGCAACTTCCATGTTTCCTGGCCGTGTTTCTGGGTATTTAATGACCTTCAAGTTTTTAAATTCTTTAGTTTTTGATAGAAATGAATTGTATACATCTTGTATATGTGACAAAGGGGTGTTTCATATTTTTCTTCTCTCTCGCCTCAGTTTTTCTGTTGTTTTCTTTCATTTCTTGTCTGACTTTTAGAGGCCTTCCATCCAGTATCACCCTTTTTTCCCCATATCCCTGTTCTCTTCATGTTCTTAACAACAAACTCACCTATCCGTTCTTCATGTAATTGATATAATATGCTATTTAGTCCTGCTGTAAGATTATTTTGCCAGTTACATTCTGACTCCAGGTGTGTAAGTTTACCTAATGCGTTGCGGGAATCTGTGTGTATTTTGCTTTTTGCAGTTTGGGCAGATGCAGACACCTGGTTCGAGAGGCAGCAGCAAGAAGAGGAGATGAAGCGTCTCCAGGCGGAAAATCAAGCTGCCTTGAAAGAAGCAGAAGAGCTTCATCGGAAGAAACTAGCTGAGGATCGCGAAGGAGAGAAGGATGAAGAAGATACAGCCCAGCCCAACAACGGTCCTGATCCTATGGCTACTGCTGAAGCTGAAGCTGAAGCTTAACCCTTGATGAGACAGAATTCTTAGTCTGAAGCTAAGTCTCCTTGATACAGATGCCTAGGTTACCATTATTGAACGAAGTTGGGGGAAACAGTAGTTGTGTACATGTAATGGCTTCTAAATATTCCGCCTGTATTTTTGTAGAACATGACTTGAAGTTTACTGGTTAGTATTTCCTTTGTAACTGGGATGGGATTGGCAATGGCTTGATGAAAATTCCTAGTCATTAAATTTCTTGGGGGGATTCTTCCTCAAGTTGTTTGATGCCATCCTTCAGAATGTGAGGCATTTTATTTTGATATGCTGCCACTATATGAAGCCGAGTACAAAACAATCACAAGAATAAGATGTAAACTGACGCTATGCTGCATGATATGCCTCCTTTTTATATAATCTCCTTTCCCTTATATATAATGAGATTTATATATAATGAGAAATTGATGGTTTTTCTAAAGGCACAAAAAAATATGTGTTATTTATGAGAAGGTGACATATGGACATATAATCTTATATTTACCCAAGAATCGTTATCAAATTAAATATGTTCTTAATTAGAATATTCTACTTATAGTCAAATATTTGATAATACTAATCAAATTTGAAGTACCCAAAAATTTTAAAAAAATCTGACAGTTATCCATAAACTAAAACTGTTGTGTGGCCCTTCTTAATTAGGGTTTTGTACTAAAATTTTTTGGGGTTAAGTGACAAAATGAAAAAGTTGTTGGGTGTTCTCTACCAAAATTTATCAGGAGGGGGGTACTTTGGTCATTTGAACACACATGAACAGACAATGTTAATTTCGAAGTTTTTTTCAAAAAAATTTAGAAGTTTAGCTAGAGTTTCCAAAGGTATTGGGGATTTAGTGTAATTTACCCATATTTCCAACTTTTATAGAGGATGGGTAGATTAGTAATTACACATGAAGACTATATATTTATTAAAAAATAAATTAGCAGTTATTATTGTTATAATGTACCTTCACTGTCAAATTAAGATAATAATTAAAATCCTAAATGGACAGATAATCAAGTGAAAGATATCATAATTAAAGAAAATCTGAATCTATTATTCTATGAGCAAAAGAACAAATGAAACTACATAGAAAGTGTAAAGATGGAAAAAAAGTGATTTAAATAATTCTTTATATATAAAAAGATATGTTGGATTACTATTAGCATTGCATCTCATCAAAAAAAAAAAAAAAGGACACATGTCCCTCCCTAGCTTTGAATTTTAAATTTTATAATAAAATTTATTTACACTTCCTATATAAATAAGAAATTCCAACTTATGTTACCTATTTCTAAAGGGCCATCAATCCAAAGAAAAAAAAAATTCAATACGGAAATTTTTAGAAACAAGACCATCAGATATATACAAACCAAATAAACCAGATCCATCCATGCAAGCACAGGCATCACCGCTTGTAACACTAAAACTACATATTATTTTTCCTTTAATTTGCCAGTTTCATTTTTTAGATGTGAATAACTAGGTCCCACTGTTACTCAACTAAGTGATGGATTACAATGAACCATATATTCTTTTGCCATAACTGACCACAGTGACTAAATTTTGTGTCGGGTTACATAAATTAGCATGTACAAAACAATGGTACCCTCCAATTAATTCAGTAGTAGATGTGCTAAAATTGTCCATAGGATTGTGAGTGAGAGTGTAAATGGGCTTCTCAGTACAGGGCTAGCATTTGGTAACCAAGGGTATGCATCTGGAGGTGGCATAACGCAATTATCACCATTGAAGTATATACGACGAGGGAATGCCCAACCCTTCTCGAAACTGAATGTCGATGAATCCTTCCGAAATAGGAGTTCAGATTGCACATTTCCATAAGGACCAGCTGCCATGAGCAAGTCGTTGTAGTATTTGATTCCCCATAGCATTGCGGTATCATCTAACAAAACAAACCATGGCATTCATATCAGTAATATTACATGGAAATTACAGAAAATCACTCTAAGATTTGTAGAAACAGACAGAACTCTTTTCGAAGTTTTCGGTTAACACTTTCACCCGCTCCTTTTGATTCTTCCATTAATCCGGATCACGGGTGTCATATGACCTGTTTAATGACAGAAATGCCCTATCCAAAGAACAAGCATGGTTACTCTTTTTAAAAGAAGGAACAGGGGTATATTTGTCATTAAATGGGTTACACGATACACATTTGATCCCATTTGACGGTAGGAGTGACAGTGTTTGTTTTTAAACTTCCAGGACTCTTATTAGCCCTCTATACATTAGAGGACGTTTCCCTGTTATTTTTTTCACAATTATATTATAACACGAAGAAAACAAAGATTGAGATGACTTACTTATGGCTGCGTAAGGAGTGAGCGGCTTGTAATTGAAACTAAATACTTGCGTGAGATTGTCGAAATTAGGGTGTTGGATGACAAGGTTCCATTGAGTATAGTTCATCCGATAGTTGAAATTTGTTATTGTGACTTTCACCCGCCAATATTCTTTATAATTGAGCTTTACATGCCAGTGGACTCGAATAGGGCACATATGAGAAGTGCATTGAACCAATGGAGTGAAGCTATTTTTACCAGGGCCATTGATAGCAGAAGCTAAATAAGGTGAATCTCCCCTGTCAATAGAAAACTATGACTTTAAATTTCAACTTCATTAAAATGTCCATATTAAATGAAATGTAGAAATTTTAACTTACTCCACACAACTTCCAGGTTCTGTTATATTGTTTTGACAGCCACAGGCACACGTCGGGCAGCTGACAATTGTGTTGTTGTAGAAAGATGAAAGCGAAACACAGCAGGTGGGGGTTTTCTGAGCAAGAAATTGGGAATATGTGCAGGTAACATTCCATGTCACTGGGACAACACAGCAACATTTTTAGCCTTCAATAAGACACAATCGAATAGTCCTGTACATATCTTACAATGACACATACAACTGACTGATAGCTGCATTTTAACTAAACTTTACTGTGAAAGCGAAACACTAGTTCTGTGTGAACTAAGTTTAATGTTTATTACATTTCCCTATTCCCCCATTATGTCCTCAGGTTTCTTTTCGGTGTGGGCAAAAGCAATTACTTACTAATATCCACATCTTTTTTGTTGCTCATATGAAAAAAGCAAAAGTGGCCTGCTCTTGGACTCGTTTTATTTTGAGTGGTGAGATAAACTAAAAACCCAGCTAGTTTAATGAGCTTATGATATAAGTTAGCTATGTTTAGTTGGATCAACCACATATTTGACCGACATATATCAAAGATAAGTTCCGACAACATAGCATTTATCCATATTCATGGGAAAAGCTTGATAAATCACTTACTCAAAGCCTGGGTTGTTCTCCTCCCATCCTGCGAAATAAACTTGCTAGGTTTCACAATCTTAGCCACTCCACACGTGTACCCAGGCCCTGGAGCTTTGAGGGTGAAGTTCTTGGGCACACGAACTGTCTTGTTGGTGGTCCCCGCCTGACCCACGCTGACTTGGAAAGAACTAACAGTGGTGGCGGGATCTTGAACCCACGAATTAATCACTCCCCCTTTGCAACAATTAGCAATCTGCTGGTTATATGGAGTTCCTGGGAGCAAATCAACAACTGTTGGATCCTTCTTACAGCAATGTGGAGTATTTCCTTTGAATCTTGAGCAATCGCCTTGTTCTGTAGTTTGTCCTCCCATCATGGTCCAGATCACTTCCTTCTTGGCCCATGTCCAACCGAGAGTCCATCCGGGTGCTTGGATGTGACGATATTGTTGGTAATTGAAAATTGTAACAACAGCCTGAGAGGATGCGTTGCTACAAGGATTAATTGGATAGACCTGTATTATCATTATTTTGAACTTACTACCCTTGCAGTTTCATTGTTGCAGATAGACCCCTTGGGTTAGATTTGTTTGACTCGCTTACACCTGGTGAGATTTTGGCAGATATTGCCCCTAGGTGAGATTAGTGACTCCATGTGAGCGTAAAAGAGTCAAACAAATTTAACCCAGGGGCTCTACATGCAATTACCTCTTGATATAAAGATTAGAAGAAGTGCACGCGTCTTTTCCTACGATTTCTATGTTAATGAATATACGGACAATGTCATTTCGCAGTTCGGATGTTTTCTAATTTGAAATTGGTAAGTATTTGTGAAATTTTATACTCACAACATAGCCATCTGCGGTCCACTGCATAATGTCCCACTTGATAGTTATGTTTCCATTAGGGTCAAGTGAATCATACGCCTCTGCAGAAGTAAAACAAAGATTCATGTACTGAAGCACGAGTGTCAATTCTTAAATCAGATGCAAGAAAGGATGCTGCTATAAGTTTATAACAAATTGGATTAGGAGCTTACCTGTTTTTGACAGGAAGCACCACTCTAAAATTCTGGATGAAGTGAGGCAGAATATTCAAGTAGCTACTATTATTCTAGACATACATGTCAAATGCAACAGTAAAAAAATCATGGATTCAAGAACTTCTGTCAATCGAAACACACCATTGTCCTCGGAGGTAAATAGCAACCGACTTTATTCGTTCTTTCAAATTCTTGTGAATATCAAATCATGTGATTTTCAACTATATCCATACACTCTTAAGAACCTGAATCTCTCAAAAAAAAAATTCACATTTATTTCTTCCCTCAGTTCTCGCAAGAAAGTCACAATTTTTTGAAGCTGCAAAGCCACTGATTTAAATAGTTCAAGGCCACAAAACTCATGTCAGGCACAGCCTATAATTCATTCATGTTTCTCAACCATCAGCTTGTGTGTATAAAAACATGAAATTTCATAAATGTTCAAAATATATGATTAATATTCCGGCAAAAATAGGAAAAAAAATTCCGGCAAAAAGATATCCAATTACACTATCAAAACAAAAGCATTATCTAAAATTGACAAAGAATATTGCTTTCAAATAAAGAAATTACTGATCATGCCAATGTTATAGCTTTTCTTACTTCTTCCCCCTCTGTTTCTTCCACAAATTAAACAGCCCAATGACACAATGACATGCGAAGGAAAAAAATTGCTAATATAGAGAAGAAAAAGCTTTTTCAAAAAAATTCAGCAAAAAAAAAACCCACATAATAACTAAACATCCCTCACAACTCAAGCCCATGCAACCCCAAATTACCAAATTCAAGCAAATGGTGCAACATCAAAGGGTTCCCAAAAAACCCCACTTAAACAAAACAAAAAAATTCAAGACCTGTACCTTAAAAATCAAATTTTGGCAAAGATTAGAGGACAATATGCAAAGAAACCAAAGTTATAGACAAGCTGGCCACTGAAACTCACCTGTTAATCTCAAGCTGGAACAGAACATGAATAGAAAGAGAAGAGCTGACAAAATCCTGAGCTCTGAGATTGATCTGAAGCTGATGAATGTATCCATTCTAGTTTTTGATTTTTTTTTTTTTTTTTTACTTTAAAAAAAATTTGAAATGAGGTTTTTGTCTTCAACAGTGGAGGCTGGCGTTTCGAGGAGGAGAGTAAAGGCTACTGGCTCTTTTGCCTTGGGTTCCACGAGAGCCAGAATGAGAGGAGTTTTGGGATTTCATTGAGGGGCAATTTGTAATTTCCTATCGAATTATACCTGGATTCTGTCAATAAAGTCCACACTCAACCCCTCCTTTGAGCGTCTTTACTCTTCTCTTTTAATAATGGGCCTTTGTTTTTGGCCAAATTTACACTTGTGACACTAAATCTCTTTTCTCGTATATTTATAAGAACAAATTTTCAAAACAGCCCCAAACAGATTTTTATTTTTCAAAATCGACCCGGTTTTTTTTATTTTCCAAAATCGACCCGGTTTTTGCCGGTTTTTGCCATGTGGGCTTAATGACGTTCCTAAACAGTCGGGGTTGCTAAACAGTCGGGGTTGGCAACCCCGACTATTTAGGACATGCAAATTTTGGGTTTAAGGATATTAAATGGGGTTTAACATCCTCCTAAATAGTCGGGTTTGCCAACCCCGACTGTTTAGGAACGTCATTAAGCCCACATGGTAAAAACCGGGTCGATTTTGGTAAATAAAAAAAAATGGATCGATTTTGAAAAATAAAATTTTTTTTGGGGCTTTTTTGAAAATTTATTCTATTTATAATAAATATTGAGTGTCGTGTTGCAAATTTGCGGTGGTTCAATTCCGGGGGGCTCGAAACTTCTTAACGTGTGTTTCGGGAAGGAGAGAGCCATGCAAATGAAGAACTTTTAGACCCTTCGCCTCTTAAATTATTGTCATTATATTATATCTATTTGATAATAAAGAGGTTATTTCGTAAGTATCTAATTAATATATTTCCTTTGACTACTGATTGTTTTGAAGGGTATCTTGAACTGTAACTCCACACACACACGGAATAGTAGCGGTTAGAGGCTTCGGAGGTTGTTTCCTCCAGCATACCCTCCGACGCTCAAGTTAGTGACTAGTCTGATAATTTGAGGAGAAGAGCAGAATGTAGTCTTTAGGGTTTTTTTTGTGCATTTCTTAAAATAGCAAAGATGATGTTGTTTATAGGAATTTTGTAAGAGTATTTTGAAGAAGAGTCGTACCCATCGCATTTGATATGATGATGACAGAATGGCAATAATGCATCTGAGAAGTCGTTATAACGTCTGTTCATGCATTAAATGCGATGACAACTAGGTGGCAAAGTATTGGTGTCGAACTGCTCTACATTAAATGCGAACATTGTTGACAAAGACCACTTGTTATTCCTTACTTCAAACTTTCCCCTACTGAATCTGACCCGATGACTCCTTTTTGGCTCCACCCGGGCTCAACTAGTAGATCTCGACTTACTTCATAATCGTTTTAGTTGTGCACCGGCTCTCTCGAAAATTACAACTAAATCAATACAGAGGCTCAAATTTAAACTAAAACAAACATAATTATTATATTTTTCCCTCTATTCTTTTTACTAAACTCCCAAACATAATTATTATATTTTCCCTTCCCTTCTTTTTCTTCCCTTCTTTCCCTTCACCTCCATTAATAGTAAACTCCCAAACATACATAGTATTAACGATCTAGATTATAATAGTATCCATGTATATCATATTTGTAACTTTCTAGTCTCTTCTCTTTCACTTTAGAGTAACATCAGTTTTTTTTCTAATTTACTTTTTACATATTACTTGTAGAAACATAAGTGTTCAAATTAGCTTAAGTAAATTATGAATATTTAGCAAATAATAAATGAATTTCGATTCCTATCTTGGTCTTTGAACAAGTGTTGTTTTTATTCTGATGGGGGACTCAACAACTCGTTTGAGAGACAGCATAGGTACAGCTAAGCCTTCGTTAATTAGCGTGAAGACTCAGAAGAGCCTAGAAAGGAAATAGTGAAAGCTCAGTGACTCGCTTTCGTGGAACTTGGCATGTGGACCCTCAGAAATTGAGTTTTTGCCAGCTCGTTTTCATGCCGCAAACGGAAAAAGATTTGAACAACAAAGATGGACTTGCAATGTTATCATTAGAACCCAAGTTATTAATTTGCAGCAAAGAAGCTAAATTTGGATTATTGGTGGTCCCATATTCAAATTCTTATTATATATATAAGTAAAAAGAGGGGGGTTTCTGATTTCCAAGGTAGACAAAATTACAGTGAGAGCAACATAACAACAACAATAAGAACCGAGCATTTATCCCAAATGTTTAGGGCCGGCTACATGAATTATATTTTTCCATTCCATTCTATTGCGGGTCAATTCCTCCGTTATATTAGTATTAATCATATCCTTTTTTATTGCATCTGACCAAGTCATTCTAGGTCGACCTCTAGACCTCCAAACCACATTTACTCTAATATTATCGCTTTTTCTAATCGGTACACTAAGGGGTCTCACTAAAATTAATGCTCATCTTCTTACATAAAATTGTCGTAAAAATTGCTTTAGATTTTGCAGCATGTTTCTATGGATTCGGATCCTTTCTAATTAGGTGGTAATTGAAGAGTGCCCATTTCCTCCGATTATTATCATACATTCGGAATTCAAGAGACAAAATTATGCCATGTAGGATTTCAACATTGTGATAGCGGTTTTCAAAACCATATGATTTTAAAGACAACTGTGAATTCCTAAGTTGCCTAATTCCATCCATTAAATTTAAAATCTACGGCAATAATTGGAGGAATTTTACGCTCCAATTAACACCTCATTGAAAGGGATCCGAGTCAATTTCTATAGTAAATTTCATTAATGATGTCCTTTTAAATTAGAAAAAAATATATAATTATTTAGAAATTTTAAATTATAAAAAGCTCTGCTTTTGATTTGTATGTCATTTTTTTCATAAATGCCAGAAATAACCATGCCCTTTAAATCTTTAAAAAAAAAATACACTCTCATCCTTTCAAGAATCAAACTGAAATGCCCTCATATTTCCATGTGAAGCATGTGCATTGGAGTACTAGTAATGTTGTAAAATAGGATTTTTTTTTTCTTATTGGTCTCTTCCTCTTAAAATAGGATTGCAGAGTAGTTGGGCTTCAACTTAATGAAAGAAAGACTCGGTAGGCCCAGGCACAGAAACGTAAGCGATATTTTAGCAAGGAATCGGCCCAACTGTGGGCAACGTCGTCATTTTCTCAGAGGATTTCCTCTTCCTCTTTCTCTTTTTCTCACCCGAGTCCAGAGCTAGCGAAAAATCCATTGACGGTGGCTCTGAGGCTGATGCTCTCCCTTCTTTAGAACTTACGAGCGAGCGAGCAAGCTACTCTTTTGAGAGAAGCCCTTCTCCACCCATGGCTTGTCTCCCAATCTCTTTCTCTCTCCTTTCTCTCAGGTCCCCCCACTCTCTCTTGGAATTAGTAGCATTAGATGTAAAAAAAATGATTTTGTTATGTTTTTATCGATTTTATTTAGTAATGAAATGATGGGTTCTATCTAGTTTCCCAAAACCCTGAATCTTTTTCTCGCATTTACTCAGTACGAGTTTGTGCCAGCTACTAATTTCTATTTTTTTATGCATAAAAAAAAAGCTGCCGTGTTTGCCATTGTACTTATTGTGTCTTTACGTGAATGCCAGAGGTTATATTAATCTTACCTATATTTTGATAATTCTGATGTGAATTGAGTTGGTCGTGATAATGCTTGCCTAAGCTCAAGTCAAATCTACATAAGATTTATAGGCTCCTTCTTCATGGGTCTCCAAGATAATGTTGACTTGCCCCTTTCTTAAGATTCTCTGCATGTTTACATTTGATGCTAGCAAAGTTCTTATAGACATACGGCATTAAAAAAAAAAAAGAAATTCAGTATCTGAGGAAAACGAAAACATTGTTTTGAGTTGCATATCGATTGCTGAATTGGTTTTTAAGCATCTGAATCTACAACAGAAAGTGTAACCTTTACCTTTGCTTGAGTTTTACAGGGGACGGTCGAGCTATTGTTCCGTTAACCCCTCAACAAGTGTCATACGGCTTAAGAATCTGAGGCTGCAGAAGATTTACATTCAGGCTGTCTCAAAAAAAAGCGCTTCACGGGGTAACTCAGAAGATGCGTCAAATGAAGAAAGTGCTAGCATAGCTCCTAAGAAAACGCGAGCTCCTAGACGTAGTAGAAAGAAGTCAAACGTAGAAATTTCCGAGGAGACGGGTGCAGAGATCATTAGTAGTCTTGAGAAAGAGGAAGAAAGTACCGCAACAACGTCTGATGAAGGTCCTAAGAAGGTTACAAGAAGAGGCAGGAGAAAAGGTAAAACCTTTTAGAGGAACCCGAATGCATCGAATGCTGTTTTCGTTGTTGCTTAGCTTTTGATCATGTATTAATTTCCGCGTATCGTTTTTAAATTATGCAGCTACTACTTCAGCAAGCTCCATGGAAGAGGTCACAGAGAAGAAAACCACTAGGAGGAGAACTAGAAAAAAGGCTGATCCAAAGAAGGAGAAGGGAGTAAATGGAGAATCTGGTGACTTTGAAGAGTCCACATCTTCTAGTGATCTCGAGAATGAAATGGAGGAGCTACGATTGAGAGAAGATGAATTAGAGGATATTAGTTTCACTTATAGTTGGCCACCGTTAGTTTGCTGCTTCGGAGCAGCTCAACATGCATTTATCCCTTCTGGAAGGCCAGCTAATAGATTGATAGACCATGAGATCCACGAATCAAAGAAGGATATGTTTTGGTCACCATCTAAGTTTGTGAGAGCCCCGGGAGGTTCATCATCAAATGTTGCTATAGCTCTTGCATGTTTAGGTGGTCGAGTTGCATTCATGGGAAAACTCGGGGATGATCAATATGGTCAAAACTTTCTGTATCACCTAAATGTTAACAATGTTCAAACTCGATCGGTTGTAATAGACACTTTGAGGCCTACAGCAGTATCTCGAATGAAAATCACGAAAAGAGGTGGCTTAAGAACAAGTTGTGTTAAGCCTTGTGCTGAAGATAGTCTTGTGAGCTCTGAGATCAACATCGACATTCTGAGAGAGGTAATCACTGATCTTAGAGATGCATTGGTTTGTTATTTTTTTAACATTTAATTGATTGTTGGTTTCTTTCTACTAAATGATTGTGTTAATCGTAGATGTAGATTCGGTTAAGGATACTATTGGTTTAGGTGGAGGTAGTGTATTTAAATTTTTCCTAAAACCTATCCTCTTGGTAATGATTTACAACCCATGAGTTTTCACAGAAATCATGAATTCCACCAATTAGTTTCTTGCTTCAACTGATTGGAGGACTGAAAAAGAAAGACGCTTACAGTGACTTTAGTTACACTTCCTTATGGGGGTTTCTTCTAGGCATCATGTTTGTAACTGCTATTGAGATTTTTGCCTCTCTTTTCTAGAACTAGCATTTAGTTAAAGCTAATACATTTTGAAGTTTTATCATACCTCTCAAGTTTATATTCATTGACCCGTCTTCCAATTTCTGCTAGTGAGTGTATACAGTGTGTGGAAATTGAGATCATATTATTTAGTAGAATTGGAGAAAATTTTGATTAGAGTGAATTTTCACGAGGCCTATGGGTAAGTCTGTACTCTGAAAGTTAGTGTCACGCGTTCAAGAAATCAAGTCATCATTGGGTCATTAGAAAGTGGGAAAATCAAATTTGAAGAGGCCAGGGAATGAAAATTCGAACAAGAATCAATATTTGTGGTGTTATTATGAATTTATTCAAGCTTATAGAGAGTTTTGATCAATGAAAATTCCACTGTTATTGCTAGCCACTCCTCAATGAGAATTTGGTGGACTTCATGTCCCACTATCCGTAGTGATTTTTCTTATGCTTTATTCGAGCAAGTGAGATGTGTTTAGTTATCGACTGGTTCCTTCTCATTTGATTGTGTAAGTACAGCATATGATGCATTATTGAGCTCCATGTCCTCTCCCCTCTTTGTTTTATTGGATGGGTAAATGCTTGAGACAGGTTGCAACATTACAGACTATTGCAACATTGCACAGAATGTTGACCTTTATCTTCATCCTGCAGTAAAAGGATAAAAGATGGTGGTTCTGATTTGGGGTTCCGGATAGAAATTTTGTGTTTTTCTATGTATCTCAACAATGAGATAACCCTTCTTTTTATAGACTTTCCAGTAACCACCTCCACCCCAAAGTGTATCAGCCTCCATAATTTCCTCTACCCATCCACAAATCCCTCTTCTACAGATATTAAGGAAATTATGCTAACAACCTAATAATATCTAGGGAATATTTCTTGGTTGGTTTGGTCAATAATTGTCTGGGTCATATTAACATTTTTCACTTGACCAAATTAACCAAGTGACATGCCTCTCACTATCCGTGAGATCAGATATTTCTTCTTACTATTACTCCCACTATTCATAGAGAGTAACTCTTATTTTATTATTCATGAAATTTTACTTGGACTTATTTATTCCTAAGTCCCATCAAACTTGCATGTTTGATAAAAGATTCCGCTGGTATTCCTTTTGTCAAAGGATCAGCAATCATGTCTGCAGTAAGGATATAAGTCACTTTGACTTCTCCATTTTCTATAATATCTCAAATATAGTGATACCGGATCTCAATATGTTTTCCTTTAGAGCTATTCGCACCGCTATTGATCAAGCTAATCGCTGCTTGATTATCACAATAAATATTAATAGGTCCTAATAAATTAAGATCTAGAGCAATCAAAAACCGTCTTATCCAGACAACATGTATAGTTGACATATTATAAGTTATATATTCAGCTTCTTGTGTATATCTAGCAACACACCCTTGTTTCTTGCTACTCTAAGAAACAACTCCTCCAAAGATGAATAAGTGTCTCAAAGTAGACTTTCCATCGCCTCTATCACTTCCGAAATCAGCATCGGAGTAACCGAGGAGATCAAGCGAATCGGCTTGAAAAACTAATCTATGAATCAATATACCTTTGATATGCTTCATAATCCTTTTAACAGCTTCCCAATGTGCTGGTCCTGAATTACTTTGATATCGACTGACTAGACTTATAGCATAAGCTATATCAGGTTTGGTGCACAATATTGTATACATCAAGCTTCCAATTGCATGAGCATAAGGAACATCTAATGGTTTTTGCCCCTCTCCAAGGTATTGCTCTTTACATAATCTATTTTCCATGACCAAGGGTGTTAGCGTCGGATTGGAACTCTCCATTCTAAACATTTTAAGAACCGATATTAAATATTTTTCTTGGTTTAAACTTAGCATTCTAAATTTTTTATCTCGAATGATTTGAATTCCAAGAATATATGATGCATTTCCCATGTCTTTCATCTCAAACTTTTCGCTGAGATCTGCCTTGATTTTATTCAACATTTCTATGTCATTTCCAGCAAGTAATATATCATCCATATATAAGGATAATATAGTAAATTTGCTCTCACTTTTTAAGATATATACATAATTATCTAATTTATTTTTAATAAAATCAAGTTTAGTGACTGCATCATGAAATTTGAGATACCATTGTCTAGAAGACTGTTTTAAACTGTATAGAGATTTTATTAATTTGTAAACTTTATGTTCCTGTTCTTTCACCTGAAAACCTTCAGGTTATTGTATATATATCGTTTCCTTCAACTCTCCGTTAAGGAATACAGTTTTAATATCCATTTGGAATAACTCCAAATCAAACCATGCAACAATGGCCAAAATAATTCTAATTGGTACAGATTTAGCTACAAGAAAATACGTCTCCTGAAAATCTATTCCAGCCTTCTGGTTGTAACTCTTGGCAACCAATCGTGTTTTGAATTTATCAATAAATTCATCAACACGATATTTCTTTTTAAGCATCCATTTGAATCCTATGGTTTTTTATTTTCTGGTAGATCACATAACTTTCATACTTTATTCTTTTCTATAGAATCAAGTTCTTCTCTCATGAATTCTAGCCATAAAGATGATACATACGATTTCATCGCATCATAGAAGATTAAGGGATCTTATTCTTCTATATTTGTATCTACCGAGAAACAAGATGGCTCACATGAATGCAAGTAATCATCCATCCATAAAGGTTGTGTTCTTGACCTTTTTTTTTCCTACAACCGGTTGACGAGGTACATTCTTTTTCATAGGTATTTTATTATTTTTAAGGTTAGGTTTATTCACAATATCAGGGTCTTTAGTGGGCACAACACAGTAATAATCATCATTTATTACAGTTAGAGATTCTGTTTCTTCTCGGACTTGTTCCTCTTCCTCTAGGTTCTCTAGAAACGTAGCATCTCTGTTTTTAATAACTCATTTTTCTTTATTGTAGAACTTATAACCTTTTGATTTTTCTGAATACCATATGAATCTATAATTTATTATTTTAAAATCTAATTTATCTCTAAGTTGATATGGAATGAGAACATGGGCTATAAATCCCTACTTTCCGAGATGACTCAGATTAGGTTTTCGTCTATTCCATAATTCATAAGGTGTAGATATAACTGATTTGGTGAGAATTCTATTTAAAATATAGTTTGCAGTTAACAATGTTTCTTCTAAAACAAATTTAGAGAGACCAGAATGAGACAACATGCATCTAACTACATTCAGCAATGTTTTGTTATTTCTTTCAGCAACACTATTTTGTTGTGGCATATATGATATTGTTGTATGTATTTTAATTCCATACTGAATACAATAACTCTCAAATTCTTTAGAGCTATATTCCCCACCTCTATCAGTTTTCAAAATTTTAATTTTCATTCTAAGTTGGTTTTTAACTTCTGTCTTATATCTCTTAAAGCAGTCAAGAGCTTCTAATTTTTTAGATATAAGATAGACGTGTGTAAACTTAGAATAATCATCTATAAAAATATTAAAATATTCTTTATTACTATGAATTTTGACACTTAGGGAATTACAAATATTCGAGTGTATCAACCTTAAAAGTTCATTGGCTCTTTGTCCACCAATAAAAGGTTTTCTAGTTATTTTATCAGTTAAACAATGTTCACATGGTGGCAATTGAACATTAGATAGTGCAGGAAGTAAGTTTATTCTGATAAATTTTTTTATTTTTGAAATACTAGCATATCCTAGTCTAGAATGTCACAATTCAGACTTAAAAATATAACATGACAAGTAGTTCAAATTTAAAATTTTATTATCAAAATTATTACAAACTATTGGGAAAATGCATAATTCATGTTCGGACACATATTTTCCCATAGCATATATTTTATTGTTTTTGCCTATAGAAATCCGATTATTGTAGAACCTGACTTCCAGTCCTTTTATGATCAAGCTGGGAACAGAGATCATATTGTGCTGAATTCCTGGTGATCTTTGAGGATAAGAATACTATCCCCAAGATCCAATCTATACGAACTAATACCTTCTACATCAAAATAGGTATTATTTTTCATATAGATTCTCTGTTTTTCTTTCTTCAACTCGGTGAGTTCTGTGACTCCATTCTTATCCTTTGCGATATGTTTGGTCGCACCGGAGTCGATCCACCAACCGCTAATATCCGTCGTCACAGCATTGTATTCCGTCACACCGACGATTTTCTTTTACTAGTACCGCTTGTTCTGGATGCTTATAGCCTTCCTTATTCTTTTGTTCTTCACCTTGCGGGCAAGTGGGCTTGAAATGTCCGAACTTTTCACAATTGTAGTAGGCTCCGCGGAGTACTTTCTTTCTCTTGAACTGCTGTGATTTTGGTCCTCGCGGTTGTGGTTTACTAGGATCAGGGTTTTTATAGCTTCCAGCATTATGCCTCTGACGGGCATAATTCAGCTCTTGCTGCACCATATTCAGTTCTGGTTCTTTCCTGCTGGCTATTAAGTCTTGTTCTGTCGTTAGGTGCATAGTAAGATTAATGATATTTAATAGCAGGGTTCATTCTTAATGTGGTGACAGATATAGCAAGGGAAGGAGGTAGACTATTCAAAATGGTTGCCACTTGCATTCTTTCAGGGATTTTGGTCTCAACAGTGGATAAGTCCTTAGCCATGACAATCATCTTGTTAATATGATCTACGACACTGTCTCCCTCCGGCATACGACAATAATTATACTTATACAAGAGGAGTTGAATGTTAACTTTAGAGGCGGCGTCATATTTTTCTTTTATAGCATTCCACATGTCCATGAAAATCTTGTAAGTTTCAAAAAATTTGATTAAGTTATCTTCCATGAACATGAACATTAGGTTTTTGCCTTTTTATCTTTCGACTTTCACTGTTCAAACCCTTTCTTTTCTTTAGATGTAGATTTATCAGTAAGTGTTAGAGCAGTGGTTTCGATTACATCATCGATATTGTCATGAATAAGAGCATATCCTATTTTTTATGCCACATATCATAATTATTGTCATTAAATTTATTAATTTTCCCTAATTTTGATAGAACGAGTTTACTAGCCATTTGGTAGAGAACTAAAACTAAAATTCTAATTTAAAATATTATATAAGGTTGATGTATAGACATATATACTAATAATAGAATAAAGTTAGATACCAAAATAAATAAATTAATTAAAAGAACCTAACTGTTTCGAGTTGAGAAAGGAAACTCCAATTCGAGCCAGATCGTCACCTAGTGGTGTTGAATGGAGAAGCACTTGTCGAAGTCGGTTCTAACTGGATTCGGAGATGATCTGCTGTTGTCGTTGAGTTGCATCGGATAGGATTTGTGAAGAATTGTTCGGACAACTACAACTGATTGAAAGCGGATTCCGAATTGTGTAAGGGGCAAAAGTAATTTTTTTCCCCTCAAGCTAGAGATAGCTCTGCTGAAAAAAATGGAGGGGCAAAAAAAAAATTCTTTGAGCCACTGCAAAATAAAAAAAAGGAAGAAGTTCTATTAGGCACGTAGCTCAAAAAAACTTTTGAATGTGGGGGGAAAAAGATAAACTCTCTCTCTCAGATGGTGTTTCTGGATTGATCTCCTCGGTCAAAAAATAAAAAGAATAGTAGGATAGCTAGTTTTTGAGAGGTGCAGTGTTTGATGGGACAAAGATTGAAATATTAAAAAAATGAGAGAACAACTTTCAAAGCTTCACCTGGAAGTGTGACTCAATTTTTTTTTTTAAATGGATAAGGGACAACTTCACTGGTTGTTTAGAGGTGCAGTGCTTGATGAGACAAAGATTGAAATATTAAAAAAATGAGAGAACAACTTCCAAAGCTTCACGTGGAAGTGTGGCTCAAAAAAAAATATTTAAAAATGGATAAGAGATAACTTTACTGGTTGTTTAGAGAAAGGATTAAACAAAAAATATATAAGAGCACGGTTTTTGATTGAAAACAGAATACTCTCTTTTCTCTATCGGATAAAGAATGAAACTAGTTTTTTCCCTTATGGAAACAAAAGGGAACGGATCTTTGATAGCTCTGATACCAGTAAAAGGATAAAAGAGGGTGGTTTTGATTTGGGGTTCCGGATAGAAACTTTGAGTTTTTCTGTGTATCTCAACAATGAGATAACTCTTCCTTTTATAGAGACTTTCCAGTAACCACCTCCACCCCAAATCGTATCAGCCTCCATAATTTTCTCTATCCATCCACGAATCCCTCTTCTACAGATATCAAGGAAGTTATGCTAACAACCCAATAATATCTAGGGAATATTCCTTGGTTGGTTTGGTCAATAATTGACCGGGTCATATTAACATGCAGCACACTTGTCTAGTTCATAAACAATTTCCTTTCACCCTGTCTAACCCTCAACCCATTTCTAACAACCTGGTTGAGTGTCATTAGCTTTCTGATCAAATAAGCTTTTAATTTTCTTCCCATTATTTATCCAGTGGCATTCTTAAGTCTTTTGAGAGTTAGGATGTTTCGTCGGGGAACTTTGGAGTTGTTTGGCTTTGAATTTCTGTAGTCTGTTGTATGTCTGTTACCAACATAATAAATTAATAAAAGGCTAAAGTTAATTTCAAAAAAAATAAAAAAAGAAAGATCTGGTGTAATTTGTCTGAGCTTTGGGGACAAACACAGCCTTACAAACTAGACAATTGACGAACTGATTGGGAATATTCTGAGGTGAGCTTTAGGAAAGTAGATTTTTGAAAATTCAGAAACTGTTAGGTCAATTGCTTTCCACATGCATCTTGACTAACTCGTTGAACTCGAATGGCTTAATGATTTGATAATGAGTTTCATCTGATATTAATGATTTTTTTTTGTCAATGAAAATTTTTATTCATTCACCAATGTGAGAATTTTATGTACATCAAGAATCTCATTATCGTTTGAGATAGCAAAACCTGTATGCAAAGCACTCAATAGAAAGTAAAAAACCCCTACATGTAATGTCTTTACAAAGAGAGTAACCAATCTCTATTCTCTTCTAAAATTGGAGAGTTTAGAATTGTAGTCAAAATATCCACCTTTATATCCTTAACCAAATGCACCACGCTTCTGTGTTTATGCTGAAAAATTCTGGCATTTCTCTCACTCCAAATTCTGTAAATTGTTGCCGAAAAGGCCATACGTTTAACTCCTTGGTTGAATCCTTTCCCTCTCAGCCTTGTACAATACCAATCCAAGAGAAGTCTCCAATCACATGCCTTCGGTTAAATTGAAGCCAACTCATAATGCAATTCCACACCTCGTTTGAGAAGCTACATTCAAAGAACAAGTGGTTTCTACTCTCCAAGCCTTCGCCAGAACATAAGCAACATACATTTGCATTTATAGTACCTCTCCTCATCAACCTGTCCTGGGTGAGCAGTTTGTTTTTAACAGCAAGCCAGCAGATGAACGAATGTGTAGGGTAGCACATCCTATCCCATACATTATCATGCCATGGCATCCTTTGAGTAACCGGGGAAAGAGCATAATACAAAGCCGATATCTGAGATTTTGAATAGCTGAAACAAGTGCTAAGGAGTTGCATCAGGTTATCACCCCCCCACCCCCACACACACACACAAAAAAAAAACACTGCTTTATTTCTTTTTTTCATCATTTGTTTCCACATCCAAGAGTCACCATTTTTAGCTATCACATGCCAGATTTATCACGTTCATTTCTTATAGTGAAATACTTTTCCAATATAATTCACCATAGAATGACTAAGGCCTACCTTAGGTGGAATCCTTAAAGCCTGTTAAGACATCTATAAGAGGCTTCTTTAAGATCCAGGTTTTTTGTGAGAGATCCTTGACGTATAATGAATTCTTTTGTGACGAATGACGATGTCTTCCAGTCCCTAAATTATATACTGTTCAATTGTTTAGATATATATTGATAAAATGATGTAGTTCAAACTGTTGACTGGATGATCTAATTTCAATTTAAAGTTTCTATATCTAATGTCAGGAAAGTACGATGTATTCTCATCTACTTCTATTCTTGATGCAGGCAAAGATGTTCTATTTTAATTCCTCCTCCCTAATTGACCAAAACATGAGATCGACAACAATGCAAGCCATCAAGGCTTCCAAGAAACTCGGAGGGGTTATATTCTTTGATCTTAATCTCCCATTGCCACTGTGGGAATCTAATGAGGATTCCAAGAAATTCATTCAGCAGGCATGGGAAAGTGCTGATTTCATCGAAGTTACAAAGCAAGAACTAGAATTCTTGTGTGGCATTAAACCCATCGAGAAGTTTGATACCAAACATAACGACAGATCCAAATTTGTTCACTATAAACCTGAAGTGATCCAACCTCTTTGGCATGAAAATCTCAAGGTATTATTTGTTACAAACGGGACATCTAAAATACACTATTATACGGAGAAGGACAATGGTTGGGTACATGGTATGGAAGATGCTCCTATCACTCCCTTCACTGGTGACATGTCTATATCGGGTGATGCGATTGTTGCAGGTAAATGATCTTAAACAATTATGATAGCTATGTGCATGCATGTTTGTATTGTATCTTGTATGTGTTGACATAATAGAAATGTATACGTTTTAACCGTGATATGCATATTGAAGCATCTTTCAGATTAAAGACCATATCTTAAAAGCATCAATTTATTCAATCAATCAATCAATCAATCAAAGAAAAGAAAAAAGTCATCGCTGTTGTATCCCAGTGGTAAAGCATTTTGCAGTTGTGCAAGCTATGGCCATGCATGACCTTTTCTCATAGAAATACTGAACAAATAACTTGGTAGCTGCACTAAGACACTGATTAGGGAACTGAATGTACAATGCTTCTACAGATTAACAGTTCTTGATGGCTGAAGCATCATCGACTCCAATAATGTGGGAGTTGAAGTATGACTACGTATTTACACAAATACTGATGCGTCTCTTCTCTATTTTAATTGTTTCGTAGGCCATCGGCAGTTTTTCTTAAATAAATTTTTTAAGTAGCCAAATTGAATGAATAGCAAGGCATGATTCGAGCCTTTTGATCCTTGGTTTACAGATTATAGCCCTATACAGATTATAGCCCTAATGCTAGCTGATTGATTGAGTAGTGTTATAGCACAATGACGCCAAGAGTTGTTCTCTTTTTCCCCCTTTTTTCCCCTCCACTTTTGCGTTCATAATCACTAGTGAAGGAAAGCAACGTACTGTAAGCTGTTACTTGTTTCGTCTTCCGTTTGGTCAACCATACAATTCTTATATCTGTTGTGTAACTTGGAGGTTTTCTCTGATGAAATTTTGTTAATAGCGGTTCCTTAATTCATGAAATCTAATGATGAATCTCTCTGTCTACTAAATTAGAGACACCACTTTTAGTTACTCATGTTCTTGTTTTGTTTCAGCTCTCATGAGAATGTTAACAGTTCAGCCACATCTTGCCACTGATAAGGGCTACCTGGAACACATGATCAAGTATGCAATCGATTGTGGGGTCATAGACCAATGGTTGCTCGCTCGTGTTCGTGGATTCCCTCCAAAAGAAGAGATCGAAGAATCTTCTCCTTCAGAATTCAGGGAGCTTAGGTCCATTACAGAGAAAGAGTATCGAACAGTAGAGGAGCATTCGGTGGAGGAACTTGTAAGTTAAAAAAGAAATCTCTAGTTCTAACCAATTTTGTGCTAGAAGCCAAAAGGCATTCTGAGGGTTTGATCAATGATCTGAACATTTTAGATGGAAAACCTTTGTGAGGGTTTATAGAGGTCTGGGGTCATCTAGTTTTGTTAGAAATCTGTGTCATGTAAGTAGAACAAGTTCAACCGTGTAGATCTACCCATTTGCTGATAGCTTCAGATAATTCCCTGCACAATGGTCATTGTTGCATTATGTAAGAAAAGGCTTTGTTGTAGGACTTCTTTTGAGTAAAGAATCGATTCTTGCAATGAAACTTCTTGTCAATTTCATTCTGGAAAACTAATTAGTTAATACAATTATCATAATAAATAGAAAAGCTTACGATGAAGCCAAGGTAATATTAACTGGATGGGAGAAAAAAGACATTTGGAGCATTTTCACTGGAAATTAATCACACAACAATGGGTTGAATAATTGCAATTCTGGGTTTTATCTTACACTAATTGGTGTAGGAGAAAGAAATTTTGTATGTATGTTGCAAAATGAAAAATCCAGTGTTTTCAACTAGGCATAAAAGCTAGGTTGGATTGTAATAAGTCTCAATTATTATTATTATGATTATTATTATTTGAAGTAAGAATAGGGCAAGATGTCCTATCAAAAGTATATTATATCTCTTAAAACTTAGTATATACAGAAAATATCTAGAAGTGAATTCGATGAAGACCCCAGAGGGTAGAAGAGCAAACCTTTATCGTCACTCTACATAGCAGGGGAGAATCAAAAGAAATCACTCATAGATATCAGAATATACTATACAAAAGAAGTATATGAACAATCGGAAGCTAACATATACATCAACTAGGCAAAATAAAAGTTTATATCCATGCCAAAAGACTAAGAGAAAGTTGGCTATGGATTAGCCCCTGCGTCATTGATGTCATCGCTGGAAGAAAGGAGCTCTGAGATGCCCTTCTCTCGAACGATTACTTTCAGCTTCTGCCCCCTTTTGGTGGATGGAGAACCTGTCCAGAAAATGAGAAAATAAGCAACCATGGAAGCCAACTTAGGAGCTTAAGGTACTTCTCCTGAAAAGATCAAATTATTACGAGCTCTTCACAAGGACCAACAGATAGTAGAAAAGCAAAACCTCCAAAATTGTCGAGCCTTAGAGTCAATAGAAACATCAGTATGACATATGTGTGTGAGCTCAGGAAGAATCGATGGGAGTAGAAGGAGGCGATTTGGGTGATTAGGGGGGGTGATTTGGGCGAATTGGAGGGCATCTTTCTCTTCATCCAGAAGATAAGCAGCGGGCATTAGCAACCGTCCTTCCACGTCACATCACCGGCCCTCATCCTACTATCCACAAACCTTCGTACGTTCCCAAACGTGCACAGCCGGTTCGACTTCCATCATTCCCAAAACCTTTTTCATCCCTCTTCTCAAAAAATGCCCGGAGTCATCATCATTCTTCAAACCATTCATCTTCCAAACATGGTATTCTTTCCCTCCCAAACCTCTTCTCAGTACTAGACCAAGAAGGAGGCTAGACTACGTCTCCCCCGTCAACGGTAGCGTAATAGAGGGTTTCACAGTGACCTAGGTTATTGGTAAACCTGTCTCTGAGAGGGCTTTTAAAAAGCCTGAGGTTCAAGAGAACCGAGCCAAATGGGAGGGTAACACCTCCTCAGAGTCAAGCTAGGTCAACAGGGGCCCGGAAGAAGAGTTTCTTTAGAGCCGGCCAATTAGGGTTCGTGTCAGTTTGTTAGAGAAGTCCAAGCAAATCGAGAAGGGTAAGGACAATTTCATCTTTTCACTTTTAAATTCAAAAGTGGCGGGATTTTCGGCACCTATTCAGGACACTGCAGAGCTCAGGCTCACTCCTAGGTCACATTACATCAATTTGGAGCCGCAAGCAGTGCAGACTCAACAAGCTGACCCCGAGTTGTTAGAGGTGTCATGGAATGGCAATAATATGACAGTAGAGCATGACCAGTGGCTGCGTTTTCTGAACACCCAAGGAGTTGGTTCAAATTTCATGCCCACTCTTCCTCATATCATTGCTGACTCTGCTGCTGACTACCTTTGGCTCCTCTCAGGGCTCGTCAAAAGTGAAATCCTCCTCTGTCCCACCTGAATTTGAGCATCTCGTTGCGGGCCGTAAGAAGAGAGTTGTAGGCAAGGAAAAATTGATGCGCAAGGCCATAGCCAACAAGGCTTATCTGTGTCACCTAGCTGCTTCCAGATCTCTTGCCTCATCCTCTAAGCGGGATAAGTCATCTTCCTTAGTTTCTATCACTCTGCCTTTAAATTCATGGATGACAAAGTTTTGGCTACTATTTTATCTAATTGTGGAGTGAAAGAACCCATATCGATTGAGGGTTTGGCTAGACTTAGATCATTGGAGTCAGAGAAAGAAAGTGAGTCTTCCTAACCCCTGCTCTCACCGTAGTAGTGTTGTGTTGTATTACATTATCTCATGAAATTTGGTACTTAGAATGTTAGAGGGCTCAATGACACAACCAAGAGAAGATTGGTTAGGGATGATATTCAGTTCTCTATAGTCGACATCATAGGTATCGAGGAGTCCAACCTTAGTGCTATTAGACCTTTAGTTCTTAAAAGTATTGGTGGTAATAGGATCAGCTCTTGGCTTCATTTAGGCGGAATTGACTCTAGAGGTGGTGTGCTATTAGTTGGAATGTTTCTATGTTTGATTGTCTGGATACTTACATCAGTATCTTTTCTATCTCAGCCGTCCTCCAACATATAAAACTTAATTGGAATTTCCTCGTTACCTCAGTCTATGCACCTTTTGATAAGGCATATAAAGACGTTTGATGGTGAGAATTTAAAAGAGTTTGTCTTATGTATCCATTTCCTTGATCCCTCTTTTGGGATTTTTAATGTCACTCTATTTGCTCACGAAAGGAGCAGTAAATCTGGCTCTGCCAGGGATATGAATTTCTTCAAACAATTCATTGACTCTCTCTTCCTAATGGACCTTCTCCTTAATGGCAGGAGATTCACTTGGTCTAATATGAGGTCCACCCCAGTTATGGCTAGGTTAGACATATTCTTTATTTCTTGGGACTTTGAATTCCAATTCCCTTTTCTTGTCCAATTCTCTTACCCCTTTTCTTCAGATCATGCTTTGATCATCCTTCACACTTATTGCCCATCTCCTAAGCCTTTATTCAAGTTGGAGAAAGCATGTTTTTGGATACTTGCAGCAGAATAAGAGGCATGTTATGGAGAAGCTTAACTCCCTTTACGTTCTCGAAGAATCTCACCGTCTTTTTGGATGCTGAACTCCAGCTTAGGCTCTCTCTTAGAGACTCTCTCTCTCTGATTAGCTAAGTTAGAAAAAATCTACTAGAAATAGAGATCTATAGTGCTTTGGCTTAGGGAAGGGGACTCTAACTCTTCCTTCTTTCATAGAATTGCCATCATCACAGGAGAAAAAACTTCATGCTTCACCTGACCCACAATTGACCCACAATGATACCCTCCTTTGTTCGAAAATAGATAAACAGAGAGATTTCTTTCACTACTTCTCCAACCTTTTCAAAGCTAACCCTCCCTCTTCCTTTCAACTGGATTGGGACCAACTTTACCCCTCTTCTCATCTAGGTCTCCCATCTCTATCCTCTCCCTTCACTCAGGATGACATTAAGACAACAGCCTTTGGTCTCCATCCACAGAAAACTCCTGGTCTAGATGGTTTTTCCATTCTCTTCTACCAATCCTTTTGGGAAACCATTAAAGAGGAGTTTTATGCGTTCTTTTCTCATCTCTATGCTGACACATCCCCTCTCCACAAGATCAACTTCTCTTTCATTACTCTCATCCCCAAATCAGATTCCTCCTGTAGTGTCATGGACTTTAGACTTATCAGCCTACTCAACTGCCTGTTCAAAATCTTCACGAAGGTTCTGGCTAACAGACTAGGTTCGTGTTTGTCGTTGCTTGTAGACAGCACCCAATCTGCCTGTCAAGCATGTAAATATACTTTAGGCTTTATTGTTCTTGATCATGAAATACTTCATGCTTGCTTCTCCAAGAAGATTGAAGCATGCATCATGAAGATTAACTTTAAAAAAAATCCTTTGATTGGTTAGCTAGGAGTTCATTCTCTCCCTCCTCAAAGTTAGGGGTGTTGGTCCTCATTGGTGCAAGTGGATTAACAATGTTCTTTCCTCCTCTAATTTTTCTGTCATTATTAATAGTTCACCTACTAATATTTTCAATTGTCATAGAGGCCTTAAACAATGGGATCCTCTATCCCCTATGCTCTTCATCCTCGTGATGGATGTCCTTAATAGAATGCTGTTCAATAGCACAATCCATGTGGACCTATCCGAGCTTCATCTTAAAGGTAAATTGCATGATGTTAGATCACTTCAATTTATTGATGACACTCTTATCTTTTATAAAGCTGATAAGAATGATATCTCCACCCTTAAGTCTATCTCTATCTCTTTGAAGAGGTATTTGGCTTGGGAATCAACTTCTCAAAATCCAACCTCTACTATAGTGGTAAAGTTGTCAATCAGAGACCATACCTAGATAAGCTTCTTAACTGCTCCTTTGCCTCTCCACCCTTCAAATACCTAGGTCTCCCTTTGAAAAAGGGACCATAAGAAACTTTCCTTATGGAAAGGCAAATGACTTCCCTTTAGGGGCTGTTTGGTTGTATGTTTTTACCATGTAAAAGGATGGAAAGTGTAAAAAAGTGGGTCCCAATATCAGCTTTCATCACTTTCAATTGTTTGTTTGTAGTTGTGAAAATAGTGTAAAGTGATTTCATATGCTGATGTGGTTTGTAAAGTGATTTCATAAAAAAAAGACATGATTTTAGGAGAAAGCTGACATTGAAATCAGGAAAAAATAATAAAAAATAATTCCAACCAATATGATCATTTGTGTAGGGACCATTTTTTACACTTTCTAAACAAACAATTAAAGTTACATTTGCAAACCAAACAAGCAATTTATGATTCCAATGGAATCAAAAACAAACAAAGAAAAGTATATAAGTAAAATTGATGAGGTGGACAACAACTTTTCAAGTTGTGTCATAAATACACAACTTTACCAACAACAACCAAACAACCCCTTAGTGGCCATCTAGTTTTTCTAAACTCAGCCCTTTCATCTCTCCACTCCATTACATGTCTTTTTCGAAATTCTAAAATGTCTCATCAAGGTGATGGACAAAATTAGACGTAATTTCTTTCTTTTTTTGGTGGGGGTGGGGGGTGCTAAAAAATGGACGACAAAGCTTTGGTTAAATAAGGCAACGTCTGCTCCTCCAAAAT